AGAAAATCTTAAATAAGATTTAGATAAGCGTTTTCATATTATTTATTATTTCATTGAAAATGCATTCATTTGGTGATTGATGAAATCACACTTTATTAATTTTAGGTTCTGTGTTTAAATTTTGGGGACATTTCTATTATTTTGAAATCCTATAGATTTATCTGATGATTTATAAATCTATGTGATTAAATTTTGGAGACAGATCTACTATATTAGGGACAAATATTATATATTATGTGATAGAAAATGCATTTATTTGGTGATTGATAAAATCACACATATTCTATAATCCAGTGTCTTTTTTCAAATACTTTAGTCCTCTAATCATTCAGCAATTAGTTTATTGTATACGTAATTATGTGTATGTGTAATGTTTGTTATTATAATGCTAAATAACATTACTACATTTTTACATTAATATAATAGCAAGGTTATAGCATATTTTTTTTACAATAAAGTAAAGAGATGAGATACGTGCAGATGTAAGAAAAAGTAAAGAATAATAAAGGAATTTATATAGTTTTTCACCCACACTAACAATAGTTTGCGTCTCTGAAAAAGACAGATTCTGTACAATGGCACAAAATAGCTTTACCAGATTCTTTATAATCAATCAGATAAGCTTCAAACACTTGTAATAACAGTTTATAAATAAAATATGTACTCACCCAAGGAAGCAGAGGAGTTAAGCCCAGAAGTAGAGTTGACACTGTCAGAGTTGGTTGAGTAGAAGTATGTGGTGCCACCCACATTTTCCTATAATATTAGGATAGTTTTAAATACTATGTAACAAAAATTACTTACACCTTCATTATAACTTGAGAAAATATTTTACTGTTTTCAGTTTTGTTATATTTTATATTTATTTCCTTACATTTGTAGTTGAAAACCTTTAATTACTATAAACTTAATCATTACTATTTTTATTATTTGTGTTAAAGTTTATATACTTATAAATTAGGATACCAGCTACTGCAACCAGCAGACACAACACTAATTTCAGTAACTTATACTGATATGGAGATTAGGAATTGCCAGTGATTTATGTTTGAAGTGTAAATATAGAACTTAATCTCTGCAAAGCAAAACTTCAAACCAATGAAAACAAAGTCATAGGAGAAAATAAAGTAATGTATTTGTCATGAAAATGACTACATAGTTAGAGGAGGAATCTCATATGCTTTTCGTGCTTTATGAATTTGGGAACATTTTAAATACAAATATTTACTCTAATTGATTATAATAATCTTATAATAATCTAAAGTAACATTTTCTTTCCAACTATAGACACCACATATAAGCATAAGAATATAAAAGACAATCTTTAGCATCTGCTGCTGAACTAGGATTTTTATCCTGTATTTCAGCATACAGAGTGCCTCAATCCTGAGAATTGAGGATTTAGACAATTACTTGTATCCTTTATGCTAGTGAAGTTCATGTTCAATGCTGAATTAAATGTTTACAATAATAATAAATATACTTTATATTTATATGAAATTATTATTATATAAAATTGAATTATATTATATAAAATAAAAAAATAACAGTTAAATATTACCTGGTGTACTTGTGTGTTAGGAACCACAGCTAATGTTGATGGTGGAGAACTCTCAGGAGAGTCCGGCAGAATGTTTGTGGGGCTGTAGTAGTTGACTGGCACAAATTCTCCAATCAAGACCTGCTGGATAAAACACACGTAAGTAGTAACACAATGCAAGTAAATATACTTTTCAAAATCGCTGTGGAAACAACAATCTAAAGATACCCACACAAAGAAATTGTAAGAGTTTACCTTTTTAATAGCTGTTGGGGAAGATTCCAGGCTAAGCTTGCCAAGAGCCTGGCTGAGAGACCTCGTCGGAGTCGAAGTCGAACGGTTCTAAAAAATTATCAAATTAATGAGAGGTAATGTCCCTCAGATACAGGGGAAATTGCATAAATATAATAAATATACCATATATGTCGCCAACTTGGACTCCTGCGGCAGCCCGTTGGGCGGCGAGTACTGTAGGAATATCGAGGGATCCATCGCGGCAACGGAGTTACGGCCAGCTGACAGCAACAACAGACAGAAATGAGCAATGAATGTATACACTAGGTAGCTATGTAGCCAGCTTACGTGCGCTGCGATCCCACTTACCGAATATAACTCACATCAAAATCCCATCCTCTTCATCAGCACCTACAGACTACAAGATTAATCACCCGAGATAACGGGCCCGGACATTTTTACGCACCCTAAGCTGAGAGATATTTCGTGGCGGTCAATCAAGCCTTACACACCAATATGCGACTCGTAACTAATCTCATTTTAACAATAAACCAGTAAAAGTTATCGTTTTTCATTCAATCAATCATTACACAAATTTAAAACGTTACATACTAAGAAATAACATCAAAATTTCTAAATAAAAAAAACACGATAGGGACACGAAGACAAGAACACACAATAGGTGCAGGATATACAATAGTGACGTCGTGTATTGATGCAATGACCGAATGATTGAAGTCGATGCTTAAAAAAATCACTATTAATTTCAATCATCATCATAAATCAAATCAAATTATTACCGATTAGTAGGTGTATATTTTACAATGGTTTTGTAGTTATGTCCCATTAGAATTCTGTGTTCCCAACACAGACATTTAATACTATAGCAGACGGAACATAAAACCTAGTTATATTTATGAATCAAAACATGATCTTTTATCCTTTTTGTACTCAGCTACAACTTGATAGTGGCATCTCATTCTTTCATCTATTGCAATACTGACTCACACATCAACAAATGTCGACGCGTGTCATTTTCATTCCTCGCCGCCATTTTATACATGACTTATCGGACATGCGACTTTTCGGTGTTTATTAAGAATATTGCTTTGATGAAACTATATTACAAAACGAGATTATTCAATTACTATGCGTATTCAGTGCGTATCGATGTGAAAGTGCTACCTACAATAGAACACCAGGATTAACGTTTCATCAGTAAGTTTTTATGTGTCTTTGTTGTGTACTGAAATGTCTTTGAGTCTTTTTGAAGCTTATTTAAATATTATCGTAACATGTAACATTTTTTACGTAGGATTATTTATCTAAGATACTACCGGTGAAAAGTAATATCTTAAAAGTAAAGAAATAGAAGTAATCAGGTTATATCATGATAGGAAATTCCAATTCTGACAACTGAAGTACTATTGCCATAACAGAGGACGGACTCGGTATCAAAGACAAAAAGTTTCTCGGCATTAATTTTGTTTGCATTACATTGTATTATGAATGTGAATGCAACCAAGAACGTAAATAGATAGGCACCTATTACAGACTAGCTATTCATATTTCTTGGAACATTGGCATCGGTAGGTATATAACCCAAATAACCACATAAACAATTTTGTTCTAGGTTTCCAAAGGATAAAAGTACTCGGAATGCATGGTTAAAATCTATGAAACGTCAGGATTGGCAACCAAATACTTATAGTGTTTTAAGTGTTTTTTGTTTTAAAATAAACAAAAGTAATGATTTTAATAGTTTGATTAAATTATATGTGATTATGTCGATTATTCAATATTTGACTCGAACAATCCAGATCATGATATTAACCATGTCCACTTGCTTATTAAAGTTGTTAAAATTTTATTTTGATCTTAGATGTAAACATCAATGTTAAGAAACAAATGTATCTCAGAGAAATTTTCTAAAAAAACTTCATTCAAAAAAACGCATTATTTCAAAATAAATAGATAAAAACTATGCCTTAATTTTTTATTTCAATTTTCCTAATTGTACCTATGTCCTTTCCCTGGGTTAATTCTATCTCCGTGCTCAATTTCATCATTATCGGTTCAGCGATTTCGCCTGGCTAAATTCGCCATGAAGATATTAAACAGACAGATTTTAACATTTATAATATTATTAGCATGGACATCACATTAGGACCTATCTATTCGGATAGGTATTTCATGAAACAATAATGAAATCCATTATTCTACTATACTAAATGCGGCCCATGCTTTGGTAGAGTTTCAATGTGTGTGTATTTGCCACGCTGTTTAAAACTGAATATTCCGTCTGCTTCTAGTTATATGTCTGTGGTTCCCAACTAATAGTTACTCAGACTGAAGCAAGTAAATTTAATGAACGAACGAAGTTTTTTTTAATTATCCTTATCGTAGCCACTACGATATAGCTGATAGTTTTAATTTAATATGATTATTATATTATTAAGGTGTTATATCTGGCATGGTTCTCTTAACTTAAAACTAAAAAACATCAGTCCCTCCTTTTCATTCTGTATAGAAAATGACAAGGATACCCCCCGTCAATTTTGATTTTCAGTTTAGAGAATCGACACCAAAGTGTATGTAAGAGGAGGGCTGGGGTAATTTGTGAAAAAAGATATGTTACAAAATATATATTGTAAGTTTATAATGTAGTGTAGATTCCGGCGTGATTCTCCATACTGAAAACTAAATTTAACATCAGTCTCTCTTTTTCATTCTAATTAAGTCAAACCCTAATGAATTTAGTACGAATATAACGACAAAGTTTATTGTGTAACATAAAAGTCTAACTGTATGTAGCCGTTGTTAATATAGTAATTTATCGTCTTTTCAATTTTGTTTTTGGTTTGATTGTACGCCTCGCCAGTAATACTAAATACGGAGTATATACTGGTTACTTGTAACTAAACTCAGTCTATTATTTAAAAATACCTTGTGCGTACCTATTATAGTAGGTATGTTTGTCGTTTCCCAATCCCATTCCCAGTCTGTCTAAACTGACAAAAAATATAAAGTATTCTTCAATATAAAATAAACAAAAATATTATTCAAATAAACTAAACAACTAAATGGTTTTGAAGAAAAGGGGGAAAAAATACTAAAGACAAGGCTGTATGTACTTTAGTTCCCCTTGCCTTCCCTAAAAGGGAGGATAATTTAAAAAAAAAATGACTATATCACTGTCTATTTCGAACTGTCAGTCAAATTTATTGTCGCAATGTCAAGTAATGTCGTTTCGTCTGCTGACTAATTTTATATTTTTTGGATCATACAGAAAGCAATAATTAATATCTTCTTCAACGAAGACTTTCTACTCCTTCGTATAATTACATTAGCGGGCTTACTGCTGTCGAATCTTATTTTAAGTGCAAGAGGAGTGTGATAATCAACTCGGCTAAGTTGCAGTGTACGTCACGACTGAATTAAATTAATTTGCATTGAAATAAGTCGACATGACGATTTTTATTTGTCTTTTTGAGTAGTCAGTCGTACTATGTACTGTCACACGAATGGTGTAATGTTTTGTATTAGTGTTATAATTAGTGGTTGATTTGTTTCCGCAGAATGGAGTCGTACCAAGGGGGCTTAGCTCGCGATGAGGCGGCTGAAACCTTCAACCGCAAGTCGCAGACTATAGCCAGTAATATCAAGAAAATATCCCAGAATGGTAATTTTTATAACCTATTATAGTATTATTGTTATTTCACATGTCCTGTGATGTGTCCTGTCCTGTCATGTTGAAAATCTAAAAGCACAGTTAATAAAGTTCAATTAATAACATGCAATATAACTGATTATTTAAGAAAATTTATTACATATTGAAGTTAATGTTCTCCAATGAACTTTCATAAAATAATTAACTCATAGAAACTTAATATAAGACTAATGTTTTTTTAAATTTAGTTTTTATTTTGTGAATTATAAACAGCACAACTATCAAGACAGTAATTCTTAATTCTCTTTTAAGTTTTTATATTTATTGTTTGACTGAGACAAAGAAAAAGTGCTTTTAATACTCTGTGTGTACGGATAAAAATAAGAATTAATCTCTAAAACACATAATTTAAATTGTATAATGACTTATGAAAAAGCTGGCAATTTTTTTATTTAACTCCATTGTCTGTTGAATCTGAATTAGGTATTTTTGAGCATTTAAAGCAATACCTACTTTAGATTTAGATTATTCATCATCTATTATTGTCGCTTCTACTGACGTATTCGTATAAACAAATTAAAATTAGATATTATTCTTATATTGTATACAGGGTGGTCAAAAAGTCGTGGATCAAACGAAACAGGGGGATAAAGAAGATTATTTCCAACAAAAAATCTTTCTACAGCATGGCCATAACTTCATTGCACGAAAAGTTATGAATATTTTTGTTTTTTTCAATGAATCTACCGAGTTTTTTTACAATTTAATCAATAAAAAAATAAATTGATTAAACACAATAAAACAAAAGGTGTTGTTTTATGACCGGATTATGTATCAATACTACAAAAATTGTATTGAAGCTCTCGTTACCAAATTTAACGAGCAATAATTTTTTTTCGTAAATTTTGAAACGTTACAAAGAATTACTTCTCACTTTAGGAGAAAAGTGACCCTGTATTAAAAAAACTTGCTGATTTAATGTTGATTCAAATGAGGTACAACACTTTACTGTGTGACCTTTAGTTTTGGTTTTATGGTCGTTTTTTCATATCAAGGTGCAAATTTCATTAAATTAACCTTATTTAAATAATTTACTAGTTGATCATAAACAGCTAGTTTTTTGTACGTTGGAACGCTAGAAATGTTCTGTTCTTGTCACACTTAGGATTTATGAAATGGACAGACACGCTTTCACACTAACCATTTAATCCTTTGTCAAAAATTGAGAACAGGTAGACCAGTGGTACGATTTGACAATGAAGAGCAAATACTGAGACAGTTAAGAATGAACCCTGGTATTAGCCAACGCCCACGAAATTCGGGATCCCATGATCGACGGTGCAGCTTATTATTAAAAGAAAAAAATACCACGGTTACCACGTGCAAAGGGTATAAGCTTTACAGCCCTCTGACTATGGACCTAGAATGGTATTTTGCAGAGAGATGCTTAGACGACACAGAGAGGATCCGCAGTTCTACAACAAAATTTTATGGACTGATCAGTCAAATTTTAGAAGAATGGGAATTTTTAACATCCGCAATTTACACTTTTACTCACGAGTGACCCACATATCATCAGAAATGATCGATTCAAGCATTTGTTTGGTATAAACATGTGGGCTGGAATAATTGACCAGAAGCCTGTGCTACATGAAGTGCCACCAAGGCTGAATGGTGCTCTGTATTTGAATTTTTTACAGAATAATTTGAACCAAATACTCAATGAAGCTGAGATTCCTGAGAGTGGCAGAAATGTGGCTGCAACAAGATGGCGCCCCACCTCATTATGCTTGAGCAGTTCGAGGACATTTGAACGAGCGCTTCCCTAACCGGTGGATTGGTCGAGGCGGACCTATTGCATGACCACCCTGGTCGCCCGACCTTAACTCAATAGACTTTTTTTTTTGGGGCTATTTCAAAGAAATAGTGTATCAAGGAGAGAATAACACCGAACAAGAACTACGACAAAAGCTCGAGTTCGCTAGGTTACAAATTGTTATAACAGAGGTGCATTCCGCCGATTACGTGCGAATTTTATAAGGCGGTGCATATTGTGCATTATGGTCAGAGGTAGGAACTTTGAACATTTAATGTAAACATTTTAATTGTAATAAAATTACTAAGTCATAATTGTTCTTTTTATTTCATGATGGCTTCTGAAATTACTACATAGTAGGTATGAGCAAGAATCTAAATTTTCCTTTCAATTTACCATTTTATAAATTTGCACCTTGACATGAAAAAACGACCATAAAACTAAAGGTCACGCAGTAAAGTGTTGTACCTCATTTGAATCAGCATTAAATCAGCAAGTTTTTTTAATACAGGATCACTTTTCTGTAATACATTGTTTTTTCACATGGTGCTCCTAAAGTGAGAAGTAATTGTTTGTAACGCTTCAAAATTTACGAAAAAAAATTCATTGCTCGTTAAATTTGGTACCGAGAGCTCCAATACAATTTTTGTAGTATTGATACATAATCCGGTCATAATACAACACCTTTTGCTTTATTGTGTTTAATCAATTTATTTTTTTACTGATTAAATTGTAAAAAAACTCGGTAGATTCATTAATAAAAACAAAAATATTTATAACTTTTCGTGCAATGAAGTTATGGCCATGCTGTAGAAAGATTTTTTGTTGAAAATAACCTTCTTTATCTCCCTGTTTCGTTTGATCCACGACTTTTTGACCACCTGTATATATATTTTTCTTTAAATTAGAATTACAAAACTACTCTTTTGAATAATCCTGTATTTTATAGTTATACAAGTTATTTACGGGATTGTTGCCATGTACCTTGTTTTTTGTGAGTTTTACAGTTACTCTGTGATCATGGCGCTTTCAACAGTGCCGAAATAACGGAAACTCACTAAAAACAAGGTACATGGTAACAATCCCGTAAATAACTTATGTTACTATAATGTTAGTGACCATGAAAGTTTAAAACAATAAATCCGGTATGTTTTCTTACCTTACTGGTTTATACCTTACAAAGGGTCTTGAGTCTTGACCCATCATGCAAGAACTGTGCAAATTGGTGGGTGCTAGGAATTGCTGTTGTAGCCATGACCAATGGCTTAATTTGCCTTCTGAAGCATGGAAGAGCTGAATTTTTAATCATCCATCCATTGGTCATTACAAATTAGTTGCTCATCTTCGACAATTGCACGCAAATCGTGCCGTCGAGCACCTCTCAAGTGAGTTAGATTACTGTTACTATTTTGAAGAATTTGTGATAATTTTATAAGGTTATGAAAATTGTTCAACCAATCTTTGTTATCCTTTCTATTCTAAAACTGCTTTAAAAGTTTCTACAAAATAAAGTTTGTTTCTAGTCTCATCAATGTCCAAGATGGTTAACCAGTTGCAGACTCCACAAGACTCGCAGGAATTGAGGAACCAATTGTAAGTTATCAATTATCTTTATTGTTTAATCAAATTTAAATGCTTCTATGTAAACCTGTACTGTAATAGGAAGAAAATACCTCTGCATGTGTACGATTTTGTTATAATGTTTCCTTCCTAGTTGAAATCATTCCTTCTATTAGGAGGAAAAAATCAGAGTTCTTGTATATCTATAGGTTTTTATGCAACAATTCAACTACTGTTATTCCTCCATATTCGGAGATAAAGGGTAGGCTTGTCATTACCATGAAATACAATTAGTTGACAATATTGATACTACAATTAGTTGACAATATTGATACTGTTTTGCTAAAATATGACGTAAAGCACTTTCTATTACTGTCATGATATGCTTAGCAGGAATATCAATAATAATGACAATGTAATTAGTATTTGATAAGCAATAGCATTATTGTGTAATACTTCTTAATTCAATATAGATTTGTCAAGGGCACAGTATAATTCATAATAAAAACATTATGTTCTCATGTTTAAATAATATTTGTAGAAAAAAACCTTTCCCTCTTAGTATTTAGACGTAGTTTTTTTTGTTTAAATGTGTTATCTCCTAATTAAGTTATCAGTAATAAAATGCACTGACGTTTATCTTTGTTGATTAGAATATGGATAGCCAATTTGTCATTATGATGTGTATGACATGGGCTATGTACCAACATACAGGGTGGCCGGGGAGTTGACGTTCAAGCGTAAAATTTAGATACCTTATGATGAGGAGTATCCAAATCACCCCCATGTATGTTCTACGATTTTGCGTAGTTCTCGAGTTAATATAATAATATATAATATTTTTAATGATTTTTTCGTAATTTTCACCTAACATCAGTTTTCATTTTTTTTCTCATTCTTTTGGACGTTTCTGGTTCAGTTTTTTTGTGATAATTGACTAACATAGTCTAACCTAGTACCCTAAAACTTATGGTTTATCTAGGCATTGCAGAATACACTTAGAATTTGTTCGAAAGTTCAAATTACGATTTGAGCTCAGTACACACAAATTTTCAAAGTATCAAAAAAAAAATGTAAATGGGGCGATTTGGAGTTCAAAGTGCTTTTAGAAACTTCCTGAGACATTAAACTTTAAAACAAGGCCAAATAAAGATAGGGTTAAGGGGGTTTATTTTCTGTAACTGACCTTCAAAGTAAATTAAGGCATTTTCAAAGGAAAAAAAATAATTATTTTATTTCATTTAAATCTTTGACTTTCTATGAGTTATGATGGATTTGTGTAAAACGCAGTTAATTGTTAACAAAATACATTTATTTAAAACAAATTTTCAAAATTTCGCCCTCCTACAGAAATACACAATTTACATCTGCGCAAAAAAATATGTTTTAGGTGCCTAAAAGCTTCACGGTTATTTTTCACAGTGGTTTCAGCTTCGCGAATTTTTGCTCTCAGTTCTTCTTCCCTCGAAACTTCTCAGGCGTACGCAATTTCTTTAAAGTAGCCCCAGATAAAAAAATCAATAGGGTTGAGGTTTACTACTACACGTCTTATTGTGCCGTTTTTTCTCGACCACTATAACCACTTGTATCGCGTAATGACATGGTACCCCGTTGTTCTGGAACACCATCGTTCTTCTTAATTCAAGATTTAAATCTTCCAGTAATATGGGTAGATTGTCTTCTAAAAAACTTTTGTATGTGTCGCCGTCTAATCTCGATGGCAGTTCAAATGGGCCTATTAATTCGCCATTCAAACCAGACCACATGTTCACGCTAAAACGATGTTGAAATGATGATGGTCTGGCGGCATGTGGATTTCCAACGGCCCAAATGTGAAAATTGTGGATATTGAAAACCCCAGTTCGCTCAAATCTTGACTCGTCGGTCCACAAGATTTTATTAAAGTATCCGGGATCTTCTTCCTCTTTCTGCAACATAGTTCTACAGAACTCGACTCTCAATTGATAATTTGAAGGTTGCAACGCTTGTACTTTTTGTATGTGGTAGGCGTGAAATGATTCCTCACGCAAAATATCCTGTATTGAAGATCTTGGTATGTCAAGGTTACGAGCTAATGCTCTCGTACTTGTACTACAATTGCGTTGCACTTCTTCCAGTACGATTTCCCTGCGTTCCTGATCAACCCTCTGAATGCCTTCACGCCCACGTTGGCCAGGAATGCGGCCTGCCATTAACGTATTGTGAGAATTAATGAACACATGATAGTCAGGGTAATGATCAGGTTGCGCTCCGCCTCGGCATTGAATTTGATCCCTGTAGAGTCTTGCTGCTTCACGACCGTTGCAAATTATGCAACGCCGTAGAAATAATGCGTTTCTGCATATTCACTCAGAGTGTAGGACATCACTAACATTTCCAAGTAACTACAATCCAAATCGTTAGGCACAACGGAATCCAGTAACAAGCAGGGGTCAAACAAGTAAGCAGCGGCGGCATCAGTAGGCAAATAGTGGTCGAGAAAAAACGGCAGAATAAGACGAGTAGTAGTAAACCTCAACCCTATTGATTTTTTATCAGGGACTACTTTAAAGAAATTGCGTACGCCAGAGAAGTTTCGAGTGAAGAAGAACTGAGAGCAAAAATTCGCGATGCTAAAACCACTGTGAAAAATAACCGTGAAGCTTTTAGGCACCTAAAACATATTTTTTTGCGCAGATGTAGATTGTGTATTTCTGTGGGAGGGCGAAATTTTGAAAATTTGTTTTAAATAAATGTATTTTGTTAACAATTAACTGCGTTTTACACAAATCCATCATAACTCATAGAAAGTCAAAGATTTAAATGAAATAAAATAATTATTTTTTTTCCTTTGAAAATGCCTTAATTTACTTTGAAGGTCAGTTACAGAAAATAAACCCCCCTTAACCCTATCTTTATTTGGCCTTGTTTTAAAGTTTAATGTTTCAGGAAGTTTCTAAAAGCACTTTGAACTCCAAATCGCCCCATTTACATTTTTTTTGATACTTTGAAAATTTGTGTGTACTGAGCTGAAATCGTAATTTTGAACTTTCGAACAAATTCTAAGTGAATTCTGCAATGCCTAGATAAACCATAAGTTTTAGGGCGCTAGGTTAGACTATGTTAGTCAATTATCACAAAAAAAACTGAACCAGAAATGTCCAACAGAATGAGAAAAAAATCGAAGACTGATGTTAGGTGAAAATTACGAAAAAAATCATTAAAAATCTACTATATAAAAATAAGTCGGGTTTTCCTTCCTGACGCTATAACTCCAGAACGCACGAACCGATTTCCACGGTTTTGCATTCGTTGGAAAGGTCTCGGGCTCCGTGAGGTTTATAGCAAAGAAAATTCAGGAAAAATTAAAAAAAAATCGTTTTCTTTTAATCACAAAACGAAATGTTACATAAATCTGGTGGCGAAACGGAGTTCGCTGGGTTTGCTAGTATTATATATTATTATATTAACTCGAAAACTACGCAAAATCGTAGAACATACATGGGGGTGATTTGGATACTCCTCATCATAAGGTATCTAAATTTTACGCTTGAGGGTCAGGCCGTAAATTTTGCCACAAATAGCGCAATGATATCGCAAAAATTTCTACGAGTCCATAGCGCAGAGTGACGCAAAATTGTTAAGGAGTGCATACAAGATATATAACGTAAGGACAGTGCTACAAAATAAAACACACTTTTAATAGGTAAGTATGACAAACGTCAACTTTTACTCTTATCTTTAAGTCTTAAAAGGTGTCACAAAAAAGCGGAGAGTTCTATTGCTAGAAATACAATTCCTTCACAGGAACTAAAATCGAAACCTCAAAAAAAAAAACAGAAATATTACAAAAGCTAAAAAAAAAGCACCTGCAAGCCTATGTGTTTAAGCTCCTTTATTTGGTAGCGTAAAGTCATTTTTGCGCAACTGTCGCGCAAACAAAACCCGTTATGACTTGATAAATAAGCTATTTTTTAATGTAAATTAAGCCTTGAAAGATGTCAAACATTTCATTAAATCGTGCGCAATAATAAGTATAGATATAAATCAAAACTTACCGTGATATCACTCTCCGCAAAAAATATGACACTTCTTTCAAACGATGTTGATGTTGGACTGAAAAAAATATGGCCGCTGACAGCGTATTGACCATAGACAAAGTTTGTTCGGTGTTGCCACTACTCAGACTTGAATACTGCTATTTTTTAAACACAACCAAATGGGCATTTCTTAGTTGCGCAATAAAAAGTAGCGCAAAGGAATGGATTTTAACGTTTTTCGAAAATGAGTGAAAATTTATGAAATTTCTTAGGTAATACGAAACGATATTTAAAATGTGGCTAGCTAACTATTATTGTACAGCGTAAAAGCAAACAGACTATCAAAAAGATTTTTATTTTTGATTTTACTGATGCTCAAAGTGCACCTCTACCGGGACGGATAAGCGTATTTTACGAAAAATTCATCGCTTTTTGTAGTAAAATATTTTATAAATTTCTAAGGTTTTGAAGATATTTAAATATATTTATTGATCGCGATTCACCATTTGTGAGGAAATATGATTCTGTTATTGAAAAAAATATAATTACCGTACTTTTTTTTTAAATGTGGCGGAGAGTTATGTTATAACTAATGTGGCAAAATTTACGGCCTGACCCTTGAACGTCAACTCCCCGGCCACCCTGTATGTTGAAATTAAATTTTTGGTAAAAATAACACATGCATATCGGAACAAGATGTGAGAAAATTTTGCAGACTATAGCTAAACATATTCATATAGGCATATTCTTGTCATATATAGGCATATTCTTGTCAAGTTCGTGCCCCCCCACCTCTCACGGTCTCCGTTCTCATCCTGTACTCCGCAGGCGAGGTCTCAGCTTACTTTTAGATTAAAACAAAAAGGGAAGTTGCGGTACGCTCATGCTAGCATCAAATAAAATATGATCCGACTCAACTACATAAGCACGCACACGTCTGTAAAAAACATTGACGAGCGAGCGAGACAGAACTGTACGCTTCAACGCAGAGCGAGCGAAACGGCGAATCAGCTTTCGAGTGCGAACGGCTGAGCTGTATGTATTGTTATATAACAATAATTTTAACCTTACCTTTTTTTGATAACAAAATGGCGATTACATTACAAATTTCATAAAGCATGTTAGTTCAACTCAATGTATGCCCCCCAGGACAAATCCTTAGCTACGCTAATGCCGTGGCCTTACTTTCGTATTATTAATATGGTTAATGACTTAGGCGTCAGATCCAGAACTACACACAAAAGCTAGCCAAGGATACGTCGACGCTGTTGATGGAGCTGATGAAACTGCCCACCGATCAGCCGGCGCACAAGCTCACGCGGGACCGTCTCAGCGACGAATACATGGTTACACTCAACTTCTTCCAGGTAAGATTTTTTTTTAACAATCACACTTATTAGCTTAGCTAAGCACTGAAAGGCTTGCGTTATGGGATACTAGGCTAGGGTAACTGATGGAATACGTATATAAGTATATTTTTTATCTAGAAATACATATTAACATCCATGAACTAGGTACAAATGCTCTTATTCATTATATTAACATTTGCCCCACCGGGACTCGAACCCGGGACCTCTCGAGTAGACGACACCTTGAACTCCGATACTGTATGTACCCACCACTCGGCCACGGAAGTCGTCAAAACATATATCTTAAGTCTATGAGAAATAGGGTATGGCGGAGATGGAGCACTCGTCTGAAGAAGTTAGTGTTTGATGGATCTTAAAAAACACTGAAATCAAATTTAGTTGATATTATAATTCTTTTATTAATAAGAATTGTGTTATTGGGACATCGGGCCGGTGCAATATGCCTGTCCTTTTTATTCTTGCGGTGCTAAGCAAAGACAACCTTATCACACATAAGGTTGTCTTTGCGTGGCTAAGGATGTTGTTTTACCCTCTGGTAACAAGATGTCTTAGTAGAGATGCGTCCCTTTGAGTTGCCACTTAGAAATGAATAATATTTATGTATAAATAAGCTTCTCATATTTCAACTCGTTGATAAAATAAATGAATTATTAAATTGAAAAAATAGAACTTGCTCTGTGGCCGGCGTTCTGCCGAAGATATGATTCTGCAAAACTTTAAATTAAACTAATTGTTTTCCTGTTGCATAACTTAAAGTGAAGTGTAGATACGTAGTTCCAATAAATAGATCATCCTTAGTGTGTTTCTGTAATTATTTATATATTGTCAGTGTCTGTAAAAATATTTGTTTTTGTTATAAGAAATTGTTCTAAGTCAGTCGACATTTACAAATATGAAGAAACAACTAAACTTAATATCAATTAAGAGAATATGTGGATAGGGGATAATGGTTATAAGTAGTTCAGTCGGTGGTCATTAGGTGAGTCTTAGAAGCCATAAAGTGTGAAAATTTCAACAATTGTTACATAAGTATAAACTTTTCATTAGGTATAGCAAATAACTTAATTTCACTTGATGATAAGTGTCAGCTGAGTCCTAATACCATGGTAGCTGATACTGCAGGGAAAGCCACCTTAATCATCTTACCAGCTTGGGGTTGTGTCTTAACAACTCTTAATGCAACCTCATTCCAAATTTCAAAGTGTGACATCGCCTTATGTAGAAAGGGTGAACAAACAACATCAAGCTCTGCTGTGCTGTGTTATGATACCTTTAGTCAACTTCCTCCTCTAACATTATAACGACCAATTATATGTGGTATGGTATACAGCTAGATCGCGTATTTATGTGGTAACAAAAATTCTAGTGGATATCCACATTTATATGCTTTTTTGGTTTTTATGAAGTTTTCATGACTTGCATCAAAACTGATATCGTAACAGTGACCTTGTGTGAGTCGCGACGCTATAGTTTTTTAATTAAAACTTTTGCCAGTGGTTTTTAATTATAGTAGGATAACGTTTATGTTTTTTACCGTTATAGCATTTGTGATAAGCCAGAAGGATTACTTATTTAGCACGATTATTTTTACTATACGATCATGTTTTATATGATGAATCTAAAGTTTTTTTTTGTTAAAACTGGACCATCTACTATTTTTTCTTGTTTTCATTTACACCTTCTAAGCATAATTTAGTTTCAAAGAAATCATGATCAAAACATAACTATGTGTACGTGCTCGTTGATATAACTGTGAGTAAGTACCTACTCTTTGAAAATAAAGTTAATATAACTTAGCGCGGCAGTTAAATGAATTTGTTAATCGCAAATTATTTTCTGCTTTGAAATAATAGAAGTACAATAAAATACACAATACTTAAAGTAAGTAAGTAATACGTAAAGTACAGAAATGAGGGAAATTACAATTGTAAAAAAGAGTGCTTCAATGGGCGGTCTTATCGCGAAAAGCAAGCTCATCAAGACAACCTTTGTACAGAGAGGATTGAAAGAAACAAGGGATATAAACGAATTTATAAATTATATATATATATACATACATACATATAATATAAATATATAATATATACATAAACTACACATGTATAAGTGTAGTCCAGTCAGCAGAGATAAAAATGCAGCTACATCGAAAAATAGTAATTTACAAGAAAATTTTTAAAGACTTAATAGATTGCGCTCGTCTTATGGATACTGGAAGAGAATTCCATAGACGTACAACTTGGACAGTAAAAGAAAGACCAAAGAAGGTCGTGTCATGAGTAGGAATTTTTAGGGTTAAATTTTCTGATTACCTAAGAGATAATGTATTCGAATTATGAAGGTAATTAATGCATTCCTTGAGAAAGCGTGGGACAAAGGATTGAACAATATATTGTAGAGAAGTGTGTGTGGATGTGTGTATTCCGGCGAAGCCGATAGGTAGCCCACTTGAGCTGTGATCGGAATTGAACGCAGAAATTTTGAAATCGCTCAAGCTCCGTCCTCCGTAAGGTCAGGATAGCAGGCGTCAGCGTAATCAAGAATAGGTAGTAGCAGAGACTGTGCTAAGGCAATGATGGCATTAAGACGGCAAGCACGGAGTCTCTTCAGCGAAGCTGCTGAAGCAAAAAAATTTCGGCTCATAGCTTGTAACTGAGGATTCTCAATGATAAGGTTATCGACAGTTATTCCTAATTTTTAACAGAAACTCTAAATGAAATACTGGTGCCAGCAAGAGTTATGTTAGGAAGTAATTGCAAATTCACTTTGGCAATTAACCTTGAGCTCTGACTTCTAGTCTAAAGATTTGCTCCACTCTATAATTTGTCGCAAATCATTATTGGTGGCCGGTATTGCTTTAGATAATTAACCAAGAGAAGCTTCACTATAAATTTGAAGATCATCTGCATACAGTTGGTAGGAAAAAGGAATAATTTTGGAAATAGAATTAATAAATATAGCGAAAAGAAGAGGAGATAGAACGCCAACAGAAGAGGAAAAAATCTCATCGAGGCGAACCCTCTGCAAATAACTGTGGAACCACTCAATCACCGATGGAGATACGTTAAGTGAGCGCAGCAACGCCAGAATAATGTCCAAATATACAGTAGTGACGTAGTCTAATACATAACTTTTACTTACTATATAAAGTTTATGTAATATAAGTACCCTTTAAAATGTACAAAAAATACAATTGGCATTTATAACACTAGTCTAAATACTAAAAAACGGTCTCTTCTCTAATCGAAATAATAGTAAAAAACCGGAAGCTTCTTTACCATTTAATATTTATGCAAACTCAAGTTTTAAAAATTGTAGCTTAACTCGAGAGTTTTAGACTCGGTTGACAGACAATAATAAATTTTGCGATTTAACTGATAAAGGAACTTTTTGGAACAGCTATGCACTTTAAATTCATAAAACCTTTATTGCAATGCAATAAGATGAATACATTGTAAGTCTTTCATAGTTGTGATTGTACGAATAGTTTTTGTTAACAGGCGACGCAGCGCACCGCAGCACAGAAGAGCAAAGAAGATGTGCGCAAGGTGAAAGCGCAGACTGTACAGATCGGCGACCCCTTCAACATGGGTATGAACTATATTATAGTCACTATATAACTTATAATCCGACTAAAATATTTTTTTGTTCTTTTCGTATTAGCTGATTATTATTTTAAGAAGATTGGATACGGTCTTTATTGTTGTTGTTATGTTACTAATATTAGACGATATTTGTTTACGTAATTTATTAGCAGCTTGTAGTGTCGCCAATCGAAAGAAGATATCGAACTGATTAGGTTCTTAATAAGAACTGCTTTCGATTTCGATTCAGTCGAAATCAGGGTACAATATTTCAATTAAAAGGTGGTATCTGATATGTGCATAAACGGCTGTACATTTTGATTGCGTTGGCTTAGAGTTTGATTTTTTTACAGCTCCAAGAGGCGGTAGACCCTTTGCTATAGTTATAAATCTACGTCATCAAAATGTGCACTGCACACTGTACTAGCAGATGATGGGTTCCAATTGTTTTCTCCTCTGCAGTTTCGAATAACTAAAACCCAATTACTTCTACAGCTTTTATTTCTGGAAAACCTATTAGAGAGGAGGCAAGAGTAATTTTATATGAATAATATGGGTTCAAATCTTTTCCGTCTGAGATACGGAACCTTAAAAAGTTACATCTTGTATTACCGAGTCACAAATGCAAGAAATACAAATTTCCTCACTTTTAGGAAAACTTACCCGTAAAAAACATAGCTACACGTAGATTATTAGGTGATTCCTTATGACTTTTAAGTTTACTCGTGTAGTTTTTACATGATTTCACCACACATGACGGCATTTTTTTAAATTCCGGCGGAGAAATTGAACTTGTCGCTGGCGCTGTCACGCGGGGTCAAATGGCAGCGGGTTGTCGGACCTGGTGCAATTGTGTGAGTGTAGGGAGTGTACAACAAACGAAATTGTAGGGCCTTGCATGCTTCACATCATTTTAGTTTGAGGTCCGTTCGTCAAATATGATTGATAAGAATATAACACAGCGATACGTACATTGTAGCAATTTTGCTAAATCTGGATTTTACTAAGACTACCTTTATCGCATACAATAAAGTCAAGTTCACATTGACGTTTTGACATTTTTCTATGGGATATAGAAAGTAGTAGAGCGTCATGCACAAAACCTCCCCCGGCTGATCTCGCCTGGCAGATTATTATGAGTCCACTCTTTTCCATTGGCACTTTTGAGCAAGATGCCTTGGTATCGTCCGTCCATAACTGCGGCACGGTACGATTCGAGTTCAGCCAAGTCTCATCATTAATTTTATGTTTTTTTTTTAAATTTTAGTTTTCACTAATTTTAACTTAGATCCTATATGCAGTGATCGCTATGATATATAATTTTTAAGCCCTAATTTCGAAAATACAAATGCCTAACAGTAGTGTTTAGTGAATAAGGACAATTTAATTTCAAAAAATAAGGACTTATAGTTCTTAATGATAATAGTTATAAAGTCAATTAACTTTACTAAATCTTTTAAAAATTCTGGCTATTAGCGGTTTTTGTATGTTAAAAAAATACATATTTAATGGTTTTAAACATGAAATAAAAAGTTTCCGGAACCACACTCAGTAAGTAAGACCATAATTAAATATGATTTTGTAAAATTTTAAATCTTCGTCCCCATGTTACCGATTCGATAAATTTTATGACAAACTGCACGGCTCTTATAACAATGAAGAACAATATTTTTTATAAGTTTTGAACTAATTATTAATTTTTAATATGAAACTTTATGGGCAAATGACAAAACGGGCCTATTATTTTGTGATGACTGTAGAAAAAAATCCACGCGGTCCAGGCAGCTTATTGTTTTAAAATGGTTGTAACAAAATAAGCATGAGGTGGGTCAGGAATCAAATTTGCTGATCGTACCTTTATAAGCTTATATAACCGGCGACGGTATACGTATGATTGTGTACAGGTGGTAACAGTCAGTTGGTTGACACCGGAGAGGTACGCAAACAGGAGCAGATGACCGCGCAGACTGAGCGAGACCTGCTCGAGCTGGAAGAGCGAGAGAGGGACATCAGGCAGTTGGAGGTAAGTGCTGCTATCTCTTTCACATAAATGAATTAGTCTCAAAGGCGAAAAAGGTGCTCAGTGCACAAATTTGCCTGTAGTTTTTATTTTTAACTGCCACTGTTTGTCTGGAAGTGATTTTAGAGTGTGCAATGAGAAGAAATTTTCATATTTTTATTTGTCAAAAAAAAAATTGCTATGAAACTTAAATAATATCAATTTAACGGTTGTTTTGCAACTGTCCGTTCTCCTCCTTTATTCGTAAACTAGCGGCCTCCCGTGACTTCGTCTGCGTCTACTTTGTTTTTTTGAGAATCCCCCTAGAAACCTAAAATGTTTTCGGGTATAGAAAATATCCTATGCCTAAATCTAGGTCACAAACAATATGCGTACCAAATTTCATCCAAATCCGTTCTTCAGGTTTTGCGTGACTTGTAATGTGACAAACATACGAAATTTCACATTTATAATATTAGTAGGATTGCTTTTAGCGAGACAGGTACAGTTACTAGGTGCGGTAAAATAATGAATAGTTGTTGTTGGCGACAGACACTGGCCACCAGTCCACTTATGTAATATTTTTTAATATTATTCTCTTTTTTGTTTTGACATGTTTTTACGTTCACTGTATTCTGTTTTTCTATAAATATATTTAATTTCAACAAAAAATATTCTGACGACGTAGCCTGTAAAGGCTACGAAATGTCAATAAATAAATAAAGTTTCGTGCATTAACCCGTAAAAAATAGTTTTATTTAAAAAATATTTCATTTATTATTTATCCAGTGCCATCCTTAACAGTGGTTTTGCATTTAATTGTTCGTGTGCAGAACGACATAACGGACGTGAATCAGATCTTCAAGGAGTTGGGTCAGATGATCCACGAACAGGGCGCCGTGGTGGAGTCCATCGAGGCCAGCGTGGAGCACACCGCCTCTAATGTGGAGAGCGCCACCATGGAGCTGAGGCAGGCCACCACCTACAAGGTATGAACCAACATGGCATGGAAACATTTACACAATCACATACATACTCCTCATTCATATACACACACAAAGAACATCACACACACACACACACACACGCACATACACACATCACATGCACATACACACACCACATGCACACACACATACACACACACACAAACTCACCCTCCCTACAACTGTAGTTTTAGTTTGATGTTAATTCTTTTAGCTTGATCTTGTAATGGTGATGGAAGAGCGATGCCTTCTGATACAGGTATCGCTGTACTTAAAAGGAGTGCATCCACAATGTTATTAGATAATAATAGGTTAAGTTAAAGAGAATAAACATTTTTTTTTGTATTTATTTTTTTAAATTCTTCTTTGTCCTTGCCTTATCCCGTTACACGGGGTCGGCTTTCTTAATCTTGAGGTGGCATTTGTTCCGCTGGTAAGCATCTGCAACAGATAGACCACATCTCCCCACTTCTCGTTTCTTCACTGCGTAGTCATCGGGCCTTCGTATGACATGTCCAAACCATCTCAGTCTGGATTCGACTATATTATTTATTAGTGATTTAAGAAATTTAAAAGTTTCCTCGAATTTATTCGTTTCGGATCTTATCCCTCAGGATACAAAGATTTAAATCGTTAAATATGCCCGATATGATGATAACACCGAAAACTGTGGCTATATTTTGCAATGACGTTATGTTGATGTCCGTTTTGATACATTACAATAGTGAAGAGAAAAGTTAATTTGTTATCGATAAATAAATGCAAGTCTTATATTATATTTTTTGGTATTTTAACCAATATTGCAAGTAGCTGATTAAAAGAATGAAATAAAATTAAAATATAAATGTCTAATGCTCAGCGATCCTTTACGCGGGGATCGTATTTGTTTTTTTTTTTTACATTTTGAATTTCGAAAAATACATTTATGCCACTGGGCATTTATTTAATACGTGGTGAATAAGCACACTGCAATTATAATATTAGGTCCTTACATATGAAATTGGCGTTTTGTACGGGAGGAATATAAAGTATTTTGTTTTTTGCAATATTTTTAATTAATCAAAGTATGCACCGTTGTTATCTATGCACTTTACTCTCACAAGTAACTTTTTCTGAGTAAATTTTCGTTTAGGGCAGTTTTTGGCTGGGTTTCCAGGGTTCCGCCATTGCGACCAGCACTTAATTATATTATAATTTCGATACTTACAATATTCAAATATCAGCAGGCATTGCAAGACACGTTGCGTGATCAGAGTATTTTCTTTAAATTACAATACCTTGCTAGATTTATTTTCCCACGTTTTTTGCTTTTTTTTTAAAATATCTATTGTAGTCTTTGATTATTTACTCTCTAGATATAGCGTCACCTTGTAACACTGTGATCAAAACAGGCCAGATTTTATATAGTTGTGTACGTGATACGAAAAAGCAAAACACGCGAATCTTGTATCTTACACTCGCGAAATGTCATTCTTTGTGTCTCGGTGCGTATGCGTAAGATTATTACGAATGCGCACGGTGATTGTTTGTTAGCAGGTTAGGCCGTATTCCTCAAAATAATGGGTAAACATAATCAAATCAAATTTAGTATATTGTTCACATAATTACAAATCATAGACGTTGAAACATCTGTAAAACTTAAATTTATTGTTTTACATAATTTTATTTACTTTAACCTGTTTATTATGGAAATAACAGTCATGATAATATAGAAAAAAAAAACAGCAAAATAGAAAGAAACCATGTTACCATAGAATATAAGTCATTATGAAATTAAATCTACTCCCATTTTACTCAGAGAGCATATCCGCTGTACCCTACTACAAATGTTTACACAAGTTATTCGTCTTCTCTTGCAGAATAAACTCAGGAAGAAAAAGGTGTACATAGCAATAATCTTGGCCGTGATCGTCAGCGTCATCCTCATCATTGTGTTCAGCCGTTGAAGATCATCTGATGATGATACCATCACCAAACGACCCGACTCTGTATTAATGTATATAGGAAATGTATACTTTCATTCTTCATCACCTCTTAACTGCTTAGTCTGTTACTGCGCTGTTACCAAAAAGTGAAAGACCCACTCCTACAAAGGATTTTTTTCTCGTTGTCTTTCTTCATTTTTCATAGATTTTTTTACCAATTTCTCGTAGAGAACGAGATGCACATTTTAAGGGTTGCACTTCATCTCATTTCAACCAAACAAAGCAACCCAAAACCCCACGACACATTGTTAGCAATTTTCAACCTTATGACCAACGGTCAGCACTCAAATTACAACGTTGCTCGATAAAAACTACCCCAGAGTGTTTAAAAAGCGCTCGTAAGTGAAATTTTAGAGAAAACTGCAGGTACTTTATGCAAACGAACAAAAATACATAATAATTATATTCACGCCATAATATTTATCTTGGGGGTTGGCAAAATAGAAGGCTGCAGCTTGAAAAAGATTTAGTTGCACTGGAAAGCTTGCAGCTGGCTAATTCTATGTTTTTTTTCTGCACACCCATAACAACATGGGGGACAAAATAGATACTTTATATATAGTTAAAAGACTCTTTGGTTACGATTCAATGCCAGACAGCGCCTTCACTACTAGCAATAAGAGAATATTCATATCTATAGCTGCAAGTTGATAAATCTTCATGGCCTTAACTTGTTTAACTGCCTCACTTAGAGATGTCTATTGTATCTTAAATTTAATTAAAGAAGACGTTATCACCTTCTACGCTATAGCAATATAGTAAGCGACAATAAGTCACTTTGACAAGTATTAAATTTATTTCGCGTCTCTAAGTGCGGTCGATGTTAACTAACCCCAAAAGTATTTTCATTACGAGTTCTCAATAAAATTATGAAGAAGGATGTGAATATCTATATATATTTATATATATCATATATATAGATAATTTTGGATTCATCCTTAAGAAGCTTCCACTTTTACTTAAGTTGATGGGCACTGTTATTACCGTCTCGACGATAACAAAATAAAACTACAACATTATAAACATTACAGTAATGATAGCACTTGACAGCAGTTAAAGTATAAAAAGCAAATAAAACAACAAACGAATAAAACATACTAATGGCCATGTGAACTGATAGCATAAAGCCTCCCGTGGGTGTATCGGTCGATAATAATCGCATATGTTATTGCAATTTTGTTATACCATTGCGTCGTTGTTGTCGCAGCAGTGTGTAACTTCGTAGCCGTTCTCATACATAATGTACTAAAAACAAATGAACAGCTAGCGAACAAAACGGTATAATTACATAAAATTAGTTTTTCCAGTGAGCTTTTGGTATGGTTTTTATTAATTTAAAAATTTAGTAATTTAAACACTGTTTTAGCCCGTTTGGATTGAAAATTATTTGAGATTCAAATACAACGGGCTCGAAACTTCCGGAATATAAAACAAAGTAGTTTGACCAGTTGCGTAATACATAATACCGTTTTGTTCGCCAGCTCCTCAAATATCAACCAATTATAACGCGCCTGTGGGGGCGCCACTTGATACCAAATATATCGCTTTTGTCTGTCATTTCTATTGTTGTTCCCTTTAATAGTATCTGTCTTCTAAAGTTTCTTTTGCAACATGATCATTAAACATGTGCTATGTTACTAGCAATGCGAAAAGTAGGTACTGTGTGCTCGCGAATGTTGAATATATTTTATTTCAATTATCAATTTATTTACTTCTTCATTTCTACGTGTTGAGTATTTCCTTTTATTTGTAACAGTACCCCTAGCACGAACCATTATCGAATTCGAATAGTTTGCAAACCGAAATGTCAATGTCAAATTTTGTATGGAAACTCGAACAGCAGCGGCACAAAGTAGGTAACGAGAACTAAAAATTAGTACACATCTGACAATGACATTTCGGACTCGCAAACGATACGAATTCGATATTGGTTCGTGTTAGGGGTACAGTTCGTACAGGTCGAGTAACTTTCATATGTGAATAGCTTAATTATAAGTTATCCTATAGTGTAGTCGCAAAGCAGTGCCTTTTATTATTATATTTTTTTTTATTATTTTTAAATTTGTGTAATATTGATATTGATGGGTGCGGCACATATTTCTTGTCCGGGTTGAAGTTAGTATTTTGACTGCACGGTAGGCAATTTCTTTCCTACAAAATCCTGTGCGCAGACAAACGAACAACTTTAAGCTATGTTAGTTCAGCATCAACTATTTTAGCACCTAGATCCTTTATAACACTATGTGGGGTGCTAGGCCTTCTATTAAGAAATATTATTTAATTTTAGGTTTAATGAATATTGCGATATTATTTCCAATAGGGTTTATGCATGATTTTTTTAATAATTTATTGAGTAGTTTATATTTCCAGAATATAGTATATCAAATATTTGAAATTTCCATAAGGTTTTCGTACTTTTCAATAGTAAATTTTTTCTCACAAAAATAATTTTATTAAAAAAGTTTGATAAAGAGACAACTCAAAAGTAATAGAGTGTATATATGTATAAAAAATAACAGCAACATTAATTACATGCATATTCCTTATTAGCGATATGTTTTTGTTATTCGGTTTAGTTATCCAGACTTACATGGTGGAGATTAAAGTTAATAAATTTTAGAGTATAGTTAAGAAATTAATGTATTGTAAAAACATGAAATTATTATTTTCATCATATCAATTAGGATGGTTTATTATTCAACTGCTATAATTTATTTCTGAACATGCAAATTTAGTTTTTGCGCTTTAAGACTTCTTCGCAAAACTTGCACTAATTTTGAGACATTTGTGTTTACAACGTGTTGCTAAAAATTCGGAAGTTCATTAGTTGCCTGGGTACACGCCTACCGAGCAATATATACATGAGATCAATATTTATTAAATAAAAAAATCGCTATTTTTTATTACATTAGAATAAATTATTTATCAATGTTGTATATTTTATGTGTTATTCGGTCGTTATAAACAATGGTAGTAAGTAGGAACTTTGAATATACAAGCGTAGGCAATGATAATTCTAAAATTTATTTTGACATTTTCTCTTACCTTCGTATGGTTGGTTATACATTGGTTTTGGATGCTTCTTCTTTCCATATCACGTGAAAATATTTATCATTTTTAAATAATAGTGTCCCATGAATATTGAAATATCGAATCAAGGTAATACAGTTGGCTAAAGTGACTTTCTACCGATATGATTACCTATTCACTCCTGCATCTGCGATTTGATTTTATCATATTTTATTTAAAGAAAATATAACAAGAATAATTTCCAGGCGGACCAGACAGCAGATTGCTATTTCTTCTTTCAAATGTTTTTAATAATTGTAAAAGTATTCATTTTACACTGTGGGTTACCTACAATACGAAGAGATGGTGCTGCCTTGCAGCTTAAGAATGGTTGGGAAAATGTCGACGCGGCCATCAGGGCCGCGGTAGCATAATTGGTCAGTGCATTCGCCCGGATAGCGAAGGGTACGGGTTCGAGTCCCGTCTGCTGCCTGGTTCGCGTGGAAATTTTTCTAGTTATATTTTCTTTAGATTTAAACATCAAGTTAAATTTTTTAATCATGTAACTACATGCTTAAAAAATATAAAATTATATTTTATTTATCTATTTATTTGAACTGTAATGAAAATTATTATAAAACAGAATTCCGGCACCAAAGCAACTGAAAGTTCACTGTGGATTAATTGTATATCATGTATATGTTTACATATAGTTGTTACCGTGTGGAGATTTCTAGCACCATTTTAACAAACGATGCGAAACTGTATTTTACAGAGGGAATTAAAGTTTCCCTTAACGATTTCGAAAAGTAAATGATTTGGTTTTTTTATTATGTCTTATCAAATGTAGTTTGCGAACCAATTTGATCTTTTAATAACAAAAATGTGTAATGTTTTATACGATACATTACACTTAAATATATGATTACATTCCTTAAATTATGTAAAAACCTAATCTTAATAACAAATTAATTAGATCGGTTATTTGTACAGATAGCAACAAAAAGTTACAGCAAAGATATCGAGCTATATAAAGGTGTAACTACACCAATCGATCGATCGTCGATCGATGTCATCGATCGATATCGGGCGACGTTGATCGATTGATGTGGTAGCTTTAATTGATCGACGGATACCGGTCGACTAACCAATCGATCGATGGCTTCGGTGGTGGTGACGTAGATCTATTGACCCCGGCTATATTCCATCAGTTTCTTTCGAAATGGTTTCACAAGAGGACGCGTTGTTGTTGACCAGTACGATTTTGCTCGTACTATTATGACGGACACGCAAATGCAGAAAACTCATGATGCGACCGTTTTTAAAGCCAAAGATCACTTACATTCTGCAAATTACATTTTAAACAGTGGTTTCTTTAGATGCTTTTCGAATGAGTAACAGCGATATTGAAAATCTCTAAAATATGGTGGCTCCTTCGAACAATCGATCACTTGGTCTGGTAGAAACTATCGATCGACGTCGAGTAATCCATTCTACCATCGATCGATGGCATCTATCGACTATCGATCGATTGGCGTGGTAGAAACTATCGATAGACGTCGAATAATCTGTTTTACCATCGATCGATTGCATAGATCGACGATTGATAGATTGTTGTGGTAACACCCTAAAGCTCAAATTGTTGGCAATTTTATTGGTTTAAATAACTTGTCGTATTCGTTGCACGATCATGGGCTCACGTGTGTACCGATTAATGTGACCAAATTTCATAAAAAATGTAGTAATTGTACGTACAGAAGAAAAAGTAGATTGATAATAATTTTGTGAATAATACATATTTCAATATCTATATTGGAAGGTAACTCCTCCTTTAATCGTCAGATGAAACTTTAATAAACCGGACCTGTCGCTTAAAATATTTAACACCTTAATTCGAGGAATCTTGGAGTACTGCAGTACTGTGTGGAATACGGGATATCAAGTGCACTCAGATCGCATTGAACGTGTACAGAAACGCTTTCTTTACAACCTCGCTTATTCCGATCATAAATGTCGAGTGCTAAGATCTTACGAACAGCGACTTTCTCATTACAAACAGCAGTCTTTAAGAGACCGGAGAAGAATTGTTGACATAATATTTCCGTGTAAAATAATGCGCGGTTACATTGTTTAACTTTTTATTTTGCAACGCAGCAAATTATTCGTGCCTCGACAAAACAGCCGCTTGCAAAATAGAAAAACTCTCCAACTTCCTTTATGCCGGACATGACTTGGTCAGCATTCGCCAATCTACCGGATGTTGTGTTTGTAATGCAGTTAGACATTGTCTTGACATTTTTGGCGGCACTATTGCGATGATGGAAAAGAAACTGGGAGCATTGTAACAAATGCAAGTATAAGGGTAGTATTGTGTACATAAAACTTAAAAAGGATTCTAACAATATTTATAAAAGTGCATGCTGTGTTTACATTATCAGATTTGTGATGTTATGTGTGTGTTAAGGTACACTGTATGTAATTATTTTGACATTTTCAGTTCGGTTTTGCAAACCAAATAAAAAAATAAAATATTATCTAATTTAGATTTAAGCGTGTATTCCACCTGACTAAAGTCAGACGTCCTAGTTAGGATCCTAAAAAGAAAGCTAATTAGAAGCTTCTGATTACACTTGACTAATTTATGTTACTGATTACTGTATCAAGACTGCTGTTGCAAGCGCGCGGCGAATTCAGTATGACTTTTTCGTAATGGCTCCAGTCCTGTCAAAGCGTCAAAATCGGTCTTTTCGTAGTAGTACAGTCAATCTGTCGAAAAAAATATCGTTTCAGTGAAAAAAAAACCTAAAGGGTAAGTCTTGTTTTTTCTGTTGCCAAATGACGTCAGTAAGCCACCTTGGCGATGGGCATG